TCTGCTGTTTCTCGTTGACGTCTTTCAGCCACTCTCAGCCTGTCGCGTTCATTGTGTTGAGAAAGAAGCAGATCTGAAGCTGCAGAACGCGATCGCCGTGCTCGCAACCGTGCATCCTCAAGTCTGGCTGCACGTCGCTCTGCTGCTTCCTCCGCATGTATTTGAGCCTGTCTTTGTCTCTTTCGCTCGTTCGCTGATGCCCGTTCTTCCCCAGTTTGATTTGCAACTAGTCGTCGCACTGCTTCCGCTCCGCGAGTACGACGACCTAAGTTTGATCTTCTGCGAGGCATTATTTGGATGAACTAAAGCAGATCGATTGCACTGAAGAAGAAGAAAGAAAGTTATAACAAAAACAAATAGAATTGCAAAACATTAAAAAAGGAAAGAACACGAACTGGAAAACAAAGAAGAAACAAAAAAAAAAAATACTAACGAAATATTTCAATTCAAACGCAGATCAATCGACACAGCTCAATTCCACGGCCAATTGCACTGAAAAACAAGGAAAACAGTTATGGAAATGAAAAACAATGAAAGAAGAAAAAAAAAACTATACTCACGAAATGAACGCTATGGTAAACGACACAGCTCAATCCCAACGCAATGTAGGTATATAAAAACACGCGCGTATTCGAATGCAACGTTGTGTCAAAATTTCAAAGCAATCGGTGAAGAATTTTCGGGGATTTAAGATTTTGAACAAACAACATTTACATTTTTATTTATATAGATTAAAAATATGCATTTAGTTTATAATTTTGTTTGTATATTTGGCTGGCTGGTAAGGTAAAGACTGCCTGCGATCGCAAGCCGTTGGCTAGAACGGTTGCAATGCGCATATTTATTATCTTATTTATCTTCATTATTATTGTTTGTGTTTTTCTGGGGTAACCCGTTTAACGCCCACAGGAAGTTAGGAAACTGGGGCTAGCTAGTTTATTCTTGGTCGCGACTGTGGCGACGAGTGATTGCTCCGCAATCATAGATTTGGATTGTTGTACCCCTTCTGCCTTGCTTACGTATTCTTGTAATTTTGTGTAATTCTGTTATTTTATTTTTAAACTTTGTTAATGTTATCTGAAAGGCCGACATATCACTGTAGCTTCTCCATATAGCTTCGATACCCCACGTATATCTTGGGGAGCTTGCGAACACAGAAATAGAGCCAGTGACGATGGGCTGCTTCTTCCTACTTCACGGCTCTGGTAATGAGTAATAATTTGAGAGAAGAAGGGGAAGGGGCGGTCCAGGGGATGGAATTAATTTTGTTTTTATCTACAAAATAAAAAAATTAATGTCACATATTAAAACGCAAGTTTTGAAAATGTTATGCCTGTTCTAAAACAAGTTTCCCGCTTCTTCACAAAGTGGTTCTGCATTATAAAATCATTCCTTCTTGTTAAATTTGGTATACTTCCATTAAAAAACCTGTTATATAATTCGGTTTGTGAGATTCATATTTTTGCTACACTCGTCGGTTATTCAACTCTGTTGACTAGAGGGAAAGAAAAGAGAAAATGGAGAGACAATTGTTTGTGTATAATTTTGCTTTTATTATCCTTAGTGGGTTGAGAGAGACCAGTCGGTACTGCCGCATAGAAATCACCGAGGCCAGCAGTCATCCTGCTNGTTTATAATTTTGTTTGTATATTTGGCTGGCTGGTAAGGTAAAGACTGCCTGCGATCGCAAGCCGTTGGCTAGAACGGTTGCAATGCGCATATTTATTATCTTATTTATCTTCATTATTATTGTTTGTGTTTTTCTGGGGTAACCCGTTTAACGCCCACAGGAAGTTAGGAAACTGGGGCTAGCTAGTTTATTCTTGGTCGCGACTGTGGCGACGAGTGATTGCTCCGCAATCATAGATTTGGATTGTTGTACCCCTTCTGCCTTGCTTACGTATTCTTGTAATTTTGTGTAATTCTGTTATTTTATTTTTAAACTTTGTTAATGTTATCTGAAAGGCCGACATATCACTGTAGCTTCTCCATATAGCTTCGATACCCCACGTATATCTTGGGGAGCTTGCGAACACAGAAATAGAGCCAGTGACGATGGGCTGCTTCTTCCTACTTCACGGCTCTGGTAATGAGTAATAATTTGAGAGAAGAAGGGGAAGGGGCGGTCCAGGGGATGGAATTAATTTTGTTTTTATCTACAAAATAAAAAAATTAATGTCACATATTAAAACGCAAGTTTTGAAAATGTTATGCCTGTTCTAAAACAAGTTTCCCGCTTCTTCACAAAGTGGTTCTGCATTATAAAATCATTCCTTCTTGTTAAATTTGGTATACTTCCATTAAAAAACCTGTTATATAATTCGGTTTGTGAGATTCATATTTTTGCTACACTCGTCGGTTATTCAACTCTGTTGACTAGAGGGAAAGAAAAGAGAAAATGGAGAGACAATTGTTTGTGTATAATTTTGCTTTTATTATCCTTAGTGGGTTGAGAGAGACCAGTCGGTACTGCCGCATAGAAATCACCGAGGCCAGCAGTCATCCTGCTGCTGCTTGTGAATTCGTTACAGCAGGGAAGTGTTTACTGAGCCGTTGCCTAGTAACAATAGGATGCGATACACATATACAGACGTGTTGACTTAGGAAGGCATATATGAATTGAACATTTAAGGGGTGCTCAAGTGCCATGATACCAAATTTCATGAAGTCTGATACACGCATTCAAAATTTGATGGGCGGGGAACGCATACAACAAGGTGGTCTCATAAGACTACTCCCATTTTTCAAAATAAGAAAAATATGCTAAAATCCAAGTTCTAGCCATTATACTACCATCTTTCATTGTATTAACACTAATAGTTTATTCACTTAAAATTTAATGTAAATTTGTTGAAAAACTTACCTTTCTTTGGTATCACTTGCCTTTGTCCCGCGCATGTATCGAGTTTTTGAGATTGGCCGTCGTTGAAAATAAAAAGCAATTTGATTACTACTAATATAAGGTTTCCGATATTACTGTCCCTTTTAACCAAACCCGAAATTTGTCAATAATGTTCCACAAAAAATTCGCATGTAAATTTCTTGGAATTCTATTTTCGAGTTGTTGCATATGTACATTTGGAAATACATGGTGACACTAATAAGCGAGCTTCTGCAGCTCAGCGTCAAGACCGTGGCACAGAGCGGTAAGTTTACTCTGACCTTGCCTGCACTGCCTATGTTACCTGTGGGATAAGATTAGAGGAGAACGGATATGATATCATAAGTGCAGTGGAGCACGTCTAANTCAAGACCGTGCCACAGAGCGGTAAGTTTACTCTGACCTTCCCTGTACTGCCTATGTTTCCTGTGGGCACCCACTGTTCAGAGAAGAGGAGAACGGATATGATATCATAAGTGCAGTGGAGCACGTCTAAAGGAAGCAATATTACTGAAGGCAAAATAAAAATATTTCACGCACTGAACTTATGAACACATTGTATTAGGGAAACAGTCCATTCTTCGTCTAACTTTTGTAAGTGAGGATGTTGCGGCACTTTTATACCGAGCAGGTTAGTGTAGCGGTGGAGCTTTGCGTTCTATCCACCGCGACACCAGCTACTGCCACTCATGCTTTTCGTGGTTTTACCCAGTCCGAAAGTTTTCCAGAACAATACCTCGAATAGGTCCTGACAGTTTTCTTCTAAATCATTTCCATCTCATTCAACAGTCATTCTAACAAGCGGCACTACAGAGTGTAGCATGAGATGCTGACAGCGGTGTAAAATATAGAACACAAAGCTCTAGCCTTAGGAACCAATAGTTGTGTTGAAAGTACAAGAAGTAACTGAAGTTCCCGTACCCTGCAGTAATAATGTACTCATATTCTGAATTCTGAATCTAGTAAGGTGCCTAAATATATGCATACATTATGTGTGCGCGTGCAATTCTCTGCCTATTTATTGTCCCTAACGAATTATTTCATTTGCAGTCATTATGTAGCACACAGTACCGCATTCGGTGAGTACAATCAAATTTCTGAGTACGGTCGATTTTCGAAGCATCTGGAACAGGACAGTGTATTATTAGATTGGGATGGGCAATTTGACGTAAGTATTGTAACGGATTTGATCAACGCGTCATCAGGCAAAACTCGGTAAACAAGGTCCAACACGCAACAATAGAGAAAGCTGTGTTTTCTGTGGACCTTCTGTGTATTCTTTATGAGAAATTACTTACTGCTGCCGAAAATGACTCTGACAAAAGAAAGACCCGTCAGAGAGGGAGGTGCATAAAAAAAACAAGAGGAAAAATGTCAAAGAGTAATAAATGTCTGGTCATGAGCTCAAGATTCGTCTCTACACGTCAGTCGCAATTCGGGGTACTTCCGAGTTCCGAGTTCCAAGTTAAGAGTCACAGGTTACGAGTAGTAGTAGCGGCAGAAGCACGCGAACAATCAGTCAAGTCAGTCTCGGTAGGAGATGGCCACGGGAATTTCGTAGTTGAAGAAGGATTAGAAGTCGGGCTGTAAAGAACTAAGGTGTAACTAGGAGACTTTATTCATGTGTAATACTTGCAAATCCGAACTCCGTCTTTAGACACCCATATAGGTGACAGTATTTTGGCCTCGCTTCATATACTTGCACGAAAGTATGATGTTTGGATCTATTAAACCGAATATTTCGATAGTTTTAATTAACAGATTATACTTTGAATTGCTTGTTCAATGGTAGTTTTTCTTTAAGGGGAGGTTCTACTTTGCTCATAAATATCCAGCTGTGAAGAATGAGAACTCTGTGTAGAGAAGTTTCAGACGTATTACAGAGTTTCATACGAGATCTGATTTCCTTTTCATTTGTGGAATGAATAATTATGATAGGTCTATAATATTACTACATGTTCAATAAACCTCAACATACTTTGAATGGTCTCCTTTCGACCTTAGTTCACTTAAGAAACGTCAATTAAACGTATCGATCTCTCCATAGAGTCAGAATTGTGACTTCACTGAAATCGCAGTCCAGGGACACTTCTATGGTGAGTCATGGGAAGATAAACGTAAAGGAAGGAAACAGCAGAGCATGCACACAGGCCCAAACAGAGGAAATCTCGTGCAGATCAGTAGGATATTTATTCCATAAAAATAAATGAAGTTGATACAAAATAAAATTATGGTTGGAAAGAAGGAGGGAATTTTAACAGATTTATAACATCTGAATAATGCATCGAGTCACATAAGACAAAGTCAAATTCTCTACAACGTGAGAGTATATACACAGTGAAACAATACTTCGACACAAAACAGAGAAATCACAGAATACAAATAAATACGATGGATACATTTTCTTATTCCGAAATTAAGTTACATTAACCTATTATAGCAAATAACTTATAAAAATAACACTAAATCTCTATACACGTAGAAGCTAAGTGAATTGTTGAACATATTCAGGAATTTATACATCAAATGAATGGATATAAGACTGAAAATTCAATTAAGTATGCTAAACATTTTAAGCATTTGAATTTAAGTCCTGAAAATAAATTTAAATTAATTGCCTTCGAATCATAAGTGAATAGTCCTGTAATAGTCGAAATGTCATGATCAATATGACTCTGTAATGGGAGAACGATGTCAGGAGTACCATGTGTGCCACATAGAGGAACTTCCTGCTTCTGTAAGCACTTAATTTGTTATAGCAGATTTGAATATTTAAACACTGCAGTCCAGTTAATGTAAATGTACACACTTGTAAATCAGTCTCGGGCTCTGGCACTGTATGGATGCTTTCTTGGACATATTACGCGAAAGTTAATTTCTCGTGGTGTACACTATGTCACCAGTTCGGATATCTGCGAAGAAAGAAAATTTGCTACAAATTTCTCTACACATTTAGTCCGGCACTATGTATTAGGAGATGCCGGTTTAAGTTTGAGCTTTTAGCGAACTTCCTCTTACAGACATTGCACTCAAAATGTAGATCTCAACTGTGTATTCTGAGATGCTTATTTAGGACACTGAGCTGGGAAAATCTTTTCTTACAAACTTTGCACGAAAAAGGTCGTTCTCCACTGTGTATTCTGAGATGCGTTATTAGGTTACCGCGATGAGCGAACATTTTCTTACACACATCGCAACAAAAGGGCCGTTCTCCTGTATGAATTCTGAGATGCGTGTTCAGATTTGAGCTTTCAGTGAAACTTTTCTTACATATTTCACACGAAAAAGGTCGCACTCCTGTGTGTATCCTGAGATGCGTATTCAGAGATGAGCGTTGAATGAATTTTTTGTGACATATTTTGCAAGAGAAAGGTCGTTGTCCACTGTGTATCATGAGATGCCTGTTTAGGGCAGTGAGGTGGGAAAAACTTTTCTTACACATTTTGCACGAGAAAGGTCTGGTGTGTACTCTGAGATGGGCGTTTAGGTTGGAGCGATGACCGAAACATTTCTTACACACTTCGCAAGATAAGGGTCGTTCTCCGGTGTGTACGCTGAGATGGGCGTTTAAGCTAGAGCTCTGAGTGAACGTTTTCTTACATACTTCGCAAGATGAAGGCCGTTCCACAGTGTGTACTCTCAGATGGGTCTTTAGATGAAACCGCTGACGGAACCTTTTGTTACACACTTTGCACGAAAAAGGTCTTTCTCCGGTGTGTACTCTGAGATGGGCGTTTAGGTTAGAGCGATGAGCGAACCTTTTCTTGCACACTTCACAAGAAAAGGGTCGTTCTCCACTGTGTACCCTGATATGACTGTCTAGATTATAGCGACTAGTGAAACTTCTGGTGCATACATTGCATGAAAACTTCTGTTCACCACCTCTGAATAGTCGCACGGCACTACGCGTCTCAATGAACGATTTGACACACATTTCACAATGAGAAGTTGTTCCTCTGCTACTTGCACTTATAAGTCCCGATATATTATTGCCAAGAGAAAATGTTTTCTTACAAATCTCGCACGAACCAAAGTTCCCTTCGCTCTGTAACTCTGACAAATCTGCACTGTGTTCACCAGGGAGTTCCTCGGTGCTAACATCCTTATTGAAGTGTGCAGACTCTCTACTGGTTGCATCCAATTTAACAGTCTAAAAGAGACAGAAACACTATCAGGAACTGTAGTGTTGAAAGACTTAGCAGTATTTTAGCTTTCCCCATGTCGATTTCCCTCAGACGAGAAAGAAGCTCAGCGTGTTCCAGAATACAAACTAACCCACGCACAAATGTCTCTCCATAAATACAGTCTCTTGTGTCTGTTGCGCCCTACACACGCCGCAATACGGTGCATTACAACAGTCTTTATACTGTGGCAAACGTAGACGGAAAGGTGTGACGGGTGAAGCTTCCCCTGTTACGTTTTATGTAAAAATATCTTAATATGAATATTTCTGCAGACGTTCACTGATTTAGTGTACATTCAGTTGCACCTGAAAGTAATTTCTTTCCGTTTAAAGAAATTTGCGAACACGGAG